CTGCTGATACCTGACAGTCGGCGATGGATGCCGACGACGCAGGCAGCCAATGCAGCCACCATGGACGAACACTGCATGGCACAAATTAAAATTGTAAAGAAGGGGCCTGCAGAGGAACAATACAGGACGGGGTGGACGGCACGTACGCGGAGGCAGACGCGCAACAGAAGCGCGGAGATGGCGGCGGCGCATCCTGGAGGAAGGAACGACGATGGATCACGGAGGAAGGGGAAGAGGAGAAGGTGGAGTTGTTCGCCCAGGAGGATAGCGCTGGAACCTGACAACCTGGCTTGTTACCGAATGGGAAGACCTGGGCCTTCGACAGCCCAATTACGGAGAGAAACCGAAGCTCGTTCTCCGGGGTAGCGGCCCACAAGACGGTGCCTGGATCGCGTGCGAAACGACCTGCGACGAGGGAGTTCAATCTAGATCGTACGTTAGAGTGATCCGATGGCTGAGAGGCTTAAAACGCTGTGGTGGCTTGTTGGTAGCTGCGTTATACTGTTTTGTAATTGATTGACTTGATTGTCTTCCTGATCAGTGATTAGTATTGATGGCCCTTGAGCTCGATTTGAAGGACCCACGAGGAAAGATCGCATGTAGACTTTATTGGGTCTGGCATAAAATTTAATCAGATGACCTCTTTGGTCTTCGGGTTGGCTCATCCAAGATCCGATTAACTTGATTTTGAAACTAGTCATTTACCCAGGTGAAGATGCGGGTACTTTTATTTTTTTAATCGTAGCCTGCAGCTTATCTGCTATACGTGATGTGCTTATTGGTTGGTTCATTAGTTAGATTCATCCGAAAAACATCGCTTTGTTTTTCTTTCTTGTGGGTAAAAAAAAAACACCGCTTTGTTGGTTCCGAGTAGTCGCGTGCCATTCGGTTTGTTGGTATTGGTACAGAGTGACCTTTTACAACATAAATAATTCTTTTTGCGCAGAATGTAAGTTATATACTAAAATTACGTCAATTAATTTGGATCGGAGGGAATAGTAGAATCTGTACTCTGCTCAAGCATAACACATTTATGCTCTAAAGTTTTTGGTCGTTTGGTTAAGAGTTGCAAAATTCTTCATAGAATGTAAGAAAGTACGTACACTGCACATTACGTACGTATCATACTTCGGCAGTGAGTATTGCTTTAGATTTTGGCCTCGTTCGGTGTTCATCCGCTTCACTGTTCCACTCTAGAAGTGGACAGAGCTGCAGTGAAAAGTCTTGAAGCGGGCGAAACGATGCTCCGCAGATCCGCGGATTTCAAAGAGCCGGCGCATTGCCGAACGGTCCGACTCCGTCGCTCCATCCATCTCCGAGGAAAGCTTCAGGCGAAACTCTGCCGATCGAGAGTGGTGGTGATGGGTGGTGACCAACGGGCAGGAGGCAGATATTCTCGCATTTCCTATTGTTTATTTATTATTTTCTGGTTAGGTGCACGACCCGAGAGAAAAACGCGTCACTGGGAACGCAAAAGGCGGCCCTTTCTGGTTTTGGGCTGTCGGTATGGTGGTGGAGTTTGACGTCTCCACTCTCCACTCTCCTCCTTTGCATTCTTGCATCTTGGTCCTACTATACATGTGACTGAGTGAGCGTGTAAGACAGTCTCTAGGTTACTTGAAAAGAAAAGTCTCTGGTTTCAGTTTCTGTCATGGTAGCAACTTAAGCGTGTGTTTTTTGACGGGCAACTTATAGCATGTCTCAAAGTTCAAAAGAAAAAGAAAAACTTAGCATGTCTCATTTTTATCTGAACGACGTTAGCTGTTTTGTGTTACTTTGGCTTGTCGGACTGTATACACATTCAAATTTAGTCATTGAGTTAACACAACAATATGGTACCAAGATAACATAGGGTGACCCGATCTTCTCACCGGATGATGCAAATCTTCGCACGACCCACTGCCAACACAACGAACTTGCAACATAATAGAAATTCACCTCACCACAATTTAGCGCCAACCACAACCGGTTTCGCCAACCAATTCACCTAACATAGTGTTTTGACGATTTAGATTTGATCTTTTCCCCCACTCCGAGGATAACATTATATAGGCCGGAAATCACACAGAGCTTTTCAATGCATCCTTACTTGTTGTTACTTGAAGCATGTATGCATATTTTGCAACCGTTTCAAATTCGAACCTTCCCAGTCAAATCAATACAAAAGGGAATATCTTATGTTCCATCTTTGTTCTCCTTACTTGATGATGGCCTCCTCTGCCTCAAACCTAACAATATAAAGATATAATGGTCTAGACCGTATAAAGTCTTCATCAACATTTAAGTTGTCAAACTCGGCCAAGAGAAGTTTCCTTGTTGTTCTAGTAGTCTGGCGCATGTCCTTATAATTCGCCCAACACTAGTAAAAAAAAGGGTCATTTGTCCTGGTGCTAGAAGGCCTTTAGTCCCGGTTCTAGTAGTTTTACTTGATGATGGCCTCCTCTGCCTCAAACCTAACAATACAAAGATATAATGGTCTAGACCATATAAAGTCTTCATCAGCATTCAATTAGTCCCGGTTTTGGCCTGTGCAAAAGAAAAAGCAAATTGAATGCCAAATGTTACCCAAAATGTCTCTCCAAATTTGTTTTTTTCACCGACAAAGCACTACTGCTCCGTTTCGCATGAAAATTGGCAAACATGTTTGTGACCCGAACATGAACATCCACAAAAAATTCAGATTCTTTTTAGAATATTGTACTACTTCTTTAGCATTACTGTTCATCCGGGACCAAATGCTCATGGGAGCCAAAATGCCCCCCCCCCCACACAGAAATCATCCTATAACACGTGTTTACTTCACTCCGATGCAGAGACTGGAAACAATATTTTTTCCCTAAGAAATAAATCATCTAGAGAGAAACCAGACTGCTTCATTAGGAATGTTGGAATGGACGAGACAGCCTCGACACCCAGCCGTCGCCGCCTCTCCAAAATAGGCTAGGGTTGCTCTGCCTCCGTCGGCGCCATCGCCGGTCTATCTCATCTCTGGTGGCTCTAGTGCCATGGAGGCGTGGTGGATCCTGACCCTTACCTGTGAGGGGCTCCGATTTTATTTATTTTTATCTGTGTCCTGCTTAGGAAGACGAGACGACAACGGCTCCTTGAAGATGGAATAAAGTTCTTCCCGCTTAGCCCTATTTCAGTGGTGCATCTAGTATCGCCGGAGGTCATGTGGAGGTGTGTCTCCTCATGGGATTCGCCCGACTATTGTCTTTGGTGGATCTATTTGGATCCGATCTTCGTTCGTCTACGTTCGTGTGTCTTCAGGTTGGATCCTTGCGATCTACGCGCCCCTTCATCAGCGCATGTGTTGTTCTGGTGCGCTGGTACTATGCGGCCTTAGCACGACGACTTTTCAATTGTTTACTACAATAAGTTTTGCTTGGATCCGGTGAGGCAGGAGCGACGATGGCGGTGCGTATTCGGCTCGTTACAGTGCTTGCAGTTCGTTGCTAGTTGGTCTATGAATTTATTATTTCTGGTATTTGTTTTACTATCATGATTAAAGATGAATACATTGAAAGTTTTCTTGAAAAAGAATGTTGGAATGATTTTCACACTAAAGCATGAAAACGTTGGCCTTATGTGAGAATCTGACTGACCGAGGGGGGTAAACTCACAAATTCCCCGAATTAAAAACGTCAAAGAAAGTGAAGAAAAGGCGGCGATTTCTATCCCCTCGCTCGCTTCCCCTTCCGACAGCAAGTGCGAGCTACTGAGCTCTGCTCCGCCCCCACACCCTCCCGTCGCGCGCGCGGCGGCCGCCGCCCTCCCTGATCCGAGAGCCAGAGAAGCCGGTAAGTCCCCTCCCCTCGCCCGATCGTCCCACCCGGCCCGCGAGCCAGGGCTCCGCGCGGTCGATCGCTGCCCGGCTCCGCTGCCGCCGCGCGCAGCCGACCTCTGCAGCTCCGGTTATTCATTTTTATTTCTTTATTATCTTTTTCTTAGGAGGGAAGCTCCCTTCTTGATTGACTTGATTGTTTCGTATGGTATCCTCGTCCTGATTACTGGGTACTATTACATATGATCTTTGAGCTCGATTCGAAGAACCCTCGAGGAAAGAGCGCCTGTGTACACTGTAGCTGGTGCTGGGCTCTGACATAAAATGTAGACAGAAGACCTATTTGGCCTTCAGGTTGACCCATCCAAGATCCGATTGCTGCACCGGTCAACTTAGTTTTGGAGCTACTTATTTACCCTAGTCCCTAGGTGGATTTGTTGGATATTTTAATCCTAGTCTGCTAGGAGGGATGTAGTCTGCAGCTTATCTGCTGCTGCGTGCTGTGCTTACTAACCGGTCCATCAGTTCGATTTCTCTGGAAAGCATCCCATTTGTTAGCTCTTCTTCCAGTTCACCCACTGATCTGATCACCTTCGGTGCTGCTTTGATCTTGTAAAAGTAGCATAATTCTTCAGTTTACGATGGGGAGAAAAGAGGTACTGGGACTTGAAAGTGTCTGAAATTCCCACTCATGTGAGGCAGAGGAATTACAGCGAGCAGACGCACACTTTGCTGTACTGCTGTGTTGCTGGCTCCTTATCCGGTCCCATTATTGCTGGTCGCTCTCATGCGCCATCTGGCTTGTTGGGATTGGTATGCAGTGTCCGGAAGGATCCCATGTGTGGGTATTAACTATGAGAGACAAGGACTGACGAAATGGAGTAATTGGAAACATTCTCCGGATATCTCCCTACTGGGTGGTTAAGATCTGCATATGCATCTCATAGGGTACGCTATTAAGAGCTAGGAATTTGTGTGTTCCAACACCACTCTGTAAGGTTTGATGTAATTCCATGTACCAACCAGACAAACATCAAAACACTGCAATGCTATTAAAAGTCATCCGGTTGGTTGCAGTAAGTAGTTTTGGAACTTTTTATCTGGTGTTTCTTTCTGTGTTTCAATGCTTGCTCCCTGTTTCTTGCAGTAACTTTCTGTCTTTGAAGCCCATTGGAGGCCCAAGATCTTGTCGATGTTCGTCTGGAGATAGCATGTCATGTCTGAACAACAGGATCATGTTAGTAAAAGCTCGAGCTCTAGCATCAGCACCAGCACTCAGGAAAGCGAGGAGGAGGTGTCCGTAACTATCGGTAGCCTCCTCGCTCAAGCAAGGAACGACAAAGGACATAGTCTTGGGAGGCGCCTCTTGCATTTGGGTTCAGTCCCGGTAATCAAGAGTCAATCAACATTTGTTACTTTTTAATCTTTTAGTCCTATTTGCTTCCTGAGCTTTACCTCTAGCTGAGTGAGTCATAATTACTTTGATGAACTGTCTCTGAAGTCTGAACTGAACATAATTTGTCGGTGTAGTGCTCAATAGTAGCTAACGTGCATTATAATTCTGAATTGCGGATTGCAAAATCAAATAATGACTCCTTTGCAATCTTTTATGACAAAATTACTAACACCCTGTTTTGCGGCAGCACCATCCTCGAGTTAATGGAGAGATTCCTAATGTTGATAATGCAACCTTGGATCATGAAAGATTGTTGGAAAGGTAAAGATCGGATCTCCCCTTCCCTCCACTTGAATGTGGACATCATTTTGTCGGATTAATCTTGTAGCATACATGTGCTGTTGCACCTTCTTCTGATGTTGCATCTTTTGCCTGTTCTCTAAGTTCATTTAGCGTTACCTTTTATTTGTCAGGTTGGGGACATATGGTTTGGCCGAGTTTCAAATAGAGGGAGATGGGAATTGTCAGGTTTGTTTACATGTTTACCCCCCAAAACTTGAAGATAAATGCAGGAGGCTTCACAAAAATTACTATTCCATTTCTTGAAGATAACATATTAATTAACCTATTGTTGCTTTCAGTATTGTTCCCATTTTTCTAACCCTACCAATGACCTATTGTCACAGTTTCGAGCTCTGGCAGACCAGATTTTTCGCAATCCTGAATATCACAAACAAGTGAGGAAGGCAGTCATGAAGCAGGTAGCTTGTTTGTCTCAGCCCGCGGACATTCTGTAGTAATCTAAGTAAAAGCATTGATCATCTTGCAGACTTGATAATACAATTTCATTGATATGCAACTATGCTGAAGCCTGTCTCTGCTTTTCAGCTGAAGGAATTCAGAAAACGCTATGAAGGCTATGTACCAATGGAATATAAGGTGTACTTGAAGAAAATGAAAAGGTAGCACAGATTGTGCTGCTTAAATGCATGTTCACTGTTGACAGAGACAGTATACTAGGCTTCAAGTATATTCATAGCTTCGTATATATGTCCTGCAGATCCGGGGAATGGGGGGATCATCTGACCTTACAAGCGGCTGCAGACCGGGTAACATGCACTTCTAGTCTGATGATGGTTGAGTGGTTTCTATAGCAAAACCTTGCAATTGCAGCATTTTGACATTAATGTTCCTGTTGTTTCTATAACTCTGACTATAGCTCAAAGCCCTGAGGCGCAAAAAAAGTCCCACTTCGAGTCTATGCAGTAATATGTGTGTCTGATGTCATTGTTCACTATTCATGAAAATTGATATAGCATTCTCTGAATAAGATGCCCGAAATTTCTGATAACATTGACATTCCTTCGTATTATTCTTTTGAATCTTATAGTAAGAAGTTTAGTGATCAGTCAGATTTTTGTCTATATTAATGTTTCTCTTCGAACTGTCATGTTCTCAACACACACTATCATGGCATTAGCATGTGTCATTACTCATGTTTATTATCTGCCTGACGTCTTTCTCCCTTTGTATGTCTACTTGCTCACAGTTTGGTGCCAAAATTTGCTTACTGACGTCATTTAGAGACACCTGCTTAATTGAGATAGTCCCAAGGGACCTGACTCCTACAAGAGGTGAGAGCCGATGCACTAGTATCTCTTATGCCCTTGTTATAATCCTGAATTCTAGAGAGATTCATCCCGCCTTTTCCACGGCGCCCGCGAAGATTTCGCTGGAAACATGCTAACTAATATGCTTCCTTGGCATGTGTTTCAGAGCTTTGGCTTAGCTTCTGGTGTGAAGTACACTACAATTCCTTGTATGCGACTGACGGTGAGCGTTTGTTTTGCTTAGACCTGCTGATTTGGTGAACTACCAATGTTCATTTGCATCATTACAGACCATTAAAATTTTAACAATCCATTCCAGCTACTGCATTATTCGGTCATTGATCAGTTCTATCTTCTAAAAATGAGCTCCTGTTGTGCGCACTGCAGACCTCCTGACTCGCAAAACTAAGAAGAAGCATTGGTTGTTCTAGGGCGGTGCCGACTTCCGAGGGAGAGGAGCTTCTCTTTGCTGCAGCTGTTCTTCTCCCTTGAGCTTAGCAGGGTCTGCAATACTTTACTGGCCCTTACTAGTTACTACTACTACGGCCATCATTGTAAAATCTGTACCGAAATATTTGTAGTTGGGGAATACTAGTACAAGTTCCCCCAACAACAAGTATTGTGATACAGAGGGAGTAGTTGAGACTGTTTTAGCACGCAGGAATTTTACGGGAACACATCCGCAAAAATATTGAAACGGCCCGGACTTGTGTAGGATTATTATGAGGCAATGTACAGTAAACTTCAATGTAGTATTTAGCAAGGAAAAAGCACATGGAATGTCAAACTCTCAGCCCCACGAGTCTTATGTTCTACACTGGCAAGCGTGTTTCCTTTTTTCTTTTTTCTTTGCGGTGTTATCAGTTAGTGGTCATTAATTTGTTGGTCAATGATCTTTCACGCCGTAGAATCACCTACATATTTTATGCGTGGCTAGATTCAAGCCTCGGGAGTCAAGATGGCAACGGAGATGAAACACACCGGGTTTTGCTTGCCCAAATTCATCCCGACAAGGAAATCTCAAGCCCATCCTTGTCACCATCATCATGTGCGGGGCTAGTTTTTTGCCCGTCTTCTAAACTCATCGGATTTTCTAAACCTACGGGAAATCCGTCCCCGCGAGCAGTCAATGAAAACAGCAGCATTGTAAGACAAACATGAGCATATTACAGCAACAAGAATCAGCATATTCACATATTTAGGCCATGTTTGGTTCGGCTATGGATTTCTAAAAGCAGGTGCGAAAAATTTGCTGTGAAAAAATAGCTGTGAAAAATCTGATGTGAAAAAGATGTAGGTCATTTGGCAAACCAGCTGATACAACTTTTTCAGATTTTGGCCCGCAGCGGAATCAGATTTTGGAAAGCACGTCCTAGGCTGCTTTCGCTTTTGGTTCAGATTTTGGCAGTGGATTTTCGGAATCGGATTCTGCTGGGTTCGCCCTTTGGTTCAGATTCTGCTGCGCGGCAGCGGAATCCGTCGATAAAAGTTGAACCAAACAGGGCCTTAAGTCAAGATGGATTTGGATTTGTACTCCAGGGCCTCGACGCTGGGGCCCGGCTAGTCGGGCGTTGTGGCTTTAGGGCGATTGAGTCAAGATGAATCAGTGCATGCTAAAATAACGTATCTTGACGGGTATTTGTCGGGTTTTGGGTATTACTAAAACGGGTTTAAACCCGCGAAACATGTCGGGTTTTATTATGTACCCATCAACAGCCTCACGGGTATAAAAAGACGCCCATTCCCGTCCCCTATAGAGACGTAGGTTTCGGGGCCCCATTGCCATCTTGACTCCGGAGGCCATTTTGCCTATGTTGGCTCACTGCCATGTGGGACCTAGGTAACATGTCTACTAGAACTTGCCCGTGTGACTTTTGTCCTGGTTTTGAGCTGTGTAGCTTATGATGACGGGACAAATATGGAATATGGTTTTTTTTACGGGGCTGACGTGTATGGGCTATGTTTTGGTTACGTAAGATTAATAAGGTGTTATAACAGGGCTTAAAAATATTTTTATAATGCCGCTGCTCCGTGCAACTCTCCGGGTGTTTGATCCCAACTGCATCACCATTTCCCCATTATCATGTTCTCCAAAAGGAAAGTGAATTTTGAAGGAAAGTGAATTTCCACGGCATTAAACGTTGAGGTACATATATCACGATCATTTGGCCTTCTAATTCTTAAAAATAACAGTTTTGCTAAAGCATATCTAGATGTGTCATAAGTATTGCACATTTAAGTCCTATGTCATTGATCTTGCGTTGAGATTCGTGTGGATATTTTTCTTTTTTCTTTTTTTCCTCTTTATACTTGATTCACTCACTTAAATGTGCAATAATTAAAGCACATCTAGATGTGCCCTAGACACACCCTAAAAATAAACAACACCCATCATCAACAAATAGAACACTACTCACAAAAAAAGATAAATAGTACTAGAACCTAGCTACCCATGAGTGTGCGGCTATAGGAGGCGCGGCGGAGCGCGTCATACTGTCTAGTAGAGTTGAAGCATGTCTGTGATTGTGGAGTGTCAAATCTTTCATTGTTTTATGCTGGCACTGAAAAAAAATGATATACTCCCTTGTCTCAAAATAAATAAGTGTCGTGACTTTAGTTCAAATTTGGATGGAGTATATTTTTTTAAAGGACTGTGATATTTGGCACATGTGTGCCATATAAGCAAAACTGCCACACCTTTATTTCTTTCACTTTAAAGTACCACACGATCCCCCTTCCTTCGACCCCGCCTTCTCCCGAACGACTCTCCAGGCTCGCCCGAGAAACCTGCTCCCCCCCCGCCCCCCCCTCCACCGCGCACATCTCGCGCACCCACCCCTGAAAAAACTGCCACTTCTTCACGTCTACCGCACGATAAAAAATATATTGCGCATGTGGGATTCGAACCCACACCTCCTTGGCACCAAAGCGCGCCACCACAACAACCTCACCCTTAGGTATTTGTTGCTCAAACTAAAGAAACTAATCATTTTGTTCCTTTTTTTACAATTGTGTTACTACAAAAAAGTATGAAAAATTACCACGATTTTCTCCCAGGACAAATTTATCATGGTATTTGCATGCAAGTTATCAGGCCTGTGTTGCGTAAGTTACGTGCTATTTACATAGAACTTACCAGGTACTATGTTTCAACAACTACACCCTTTCAAAGTTACCACTGTGTTATAAGGTCTTCGATGTGTAAAATACAGTGGTACTTACACATAAGTTATCAAGGTATGTGTACATCAATCTCGTCCTTGATCAAAGTTACCATGGAGGATTGTAGATGAGTTACCGGGTCTACACTTTGTATTATCATGGTACTTACACCTAAAAACCTGGGTGTGTTTCCGTAACTTTTTCCATAGGTCAAAAATTACCACGATGTTTTTGCGTAACTTATCACGCCTATAGCGGGTCAAAGTGGGCCGTTTTTCTGGGCCAACCCACGAGCACGTGTGCCTCCTCATGACACTAAACATTATGTGGCTTTTGTGTGACACATCATGTATTGTGTTCATCTAAGAGGCCCCGCAAGGCGAGTGTATGTTTTTAACAATTTGTTTTCCTTTGGTAAAACTAACCGTCATGTTTATATTGTAAGTTATCGGTTATGTGGTGCTTATATTATCATGTTATTCACATAAAAATTATCAGGGATGTTTTGAACAACTTTTCCCCGGGACAAAAGGTTATCATGGTAATTCTAGGTAACCTATCAAGCCCGCAGTGCTTAAAATACCATGCTATTTACATAAAATTTATCAGGGGTATATTTCAGCAAAATCCCCCCCCCCTCCCGTGTCAAAAACTTATCATGATGTTTAGTTATCGCGGTGCATATGTTTTCATGTTATTTACACATAAAAATACCAGGGGATACCGGAGTATCTTTTCAAAAAAAAAAATCTTCCCTATGGTCAAAGTTACCATGGTGTTTCTACCTCAGTTATCAGATGTGCGCTGCATATATTACCATCTATTTACGCATAAATTATCTGGTATCTTTTCATACTTTTCTTTCCCAATGGTTAAAGTTATCACGATATTTGTATCTAAATTATCATGTCTATGGCGTGAATGTTATCGTGCTATTTAAGAAATTACCGGGGGCCGGGGTTCAACCAATTTCTTCCCAATGATCAAAGTTACCACGATGTTTTCACCAAAGTTATCACGCCTTCAATGCTTATGATCATGCTACTTACACATAATGTAGCGCGTGGTATACAAAAGTTATCATGTTGGTGGTGCGTCATTTATCGTGGTGGTGATGGAGAATTTACCATGAAATTTTTTTATGTGCCAGATTTGATAGATAAAACAAAAGTTTTTCAGTGCTAAAACATTAAAGGCAAAACGTGCCAAAAACAGTATTTTCCTTAGCTTGTTCAACAATGAGTGTCATAGGTGAGATGGTTAGCTCCCTTCGTTGATTACCTGCAGACCAGAGATCAAATCCCAATTCAAGTATTGTTTTTGCCCAAAAATCTGGAAGGCGCGTGGGGTCGTAACTGGTGATTGAAAGAAAAGAAATTAGGACGGCGGGAAAGGAAGAAATCAAGAGGAGATCGTGAGGAAGTATGTGAAAGAAAAGACATCGGGAGGACGTGCGGAAAAGGAAGGAGATCGGGAGGAATGCGGGAAAGGAAGGAGGGAAAAGGAAGAAGATCGCGAGGACATGCGGAAAAGGAAGGAGATCGGGAAGGCGATGCGTGTGGCAATTTTGCAATCTGCCACACGGTTGTCACTTACATATTTCGTTTTCCAAAACGGAAAACAAACAACATAATGCAATTAATAATAATCGGTATCATGCTTCTAAATGACAATGCACCATCGAGTCTACTGTTTTATTTTTTTCCTTTCTCATTTGCCTTTTTTTCGTTGCACATTACCCATGGTCTTCATTGATGCAATATAATTTCCTCCTTCATCGAATAAAAATCTTAAGAACTTGCCTGAAAATTTTCTCCTTTTTATAGCGAATTAGTTTAAAAATCTGACATGGTAACGTGTTCACTGGCTTTTAATATCTTATAGCAAATTAGTTTTTTTTTTGAGGAATTATAGCGAATTGGTTGAAAAAGATCTGGCGTGGCTCCGATCCTGCGCTAGTGCAAACTAATCCAACTGAAGAGAGCACGTTCGCTGGGATTGGCCCCCCGGCGAACGGTCGCCAGTTTAGCAAAAAAAATTTAAAAAAGGAAAGACAAAACGAAAAGGCAAGCCCTTTTCGTCTGAATCCGAATTTGAATATCCTGCGGATTAACCTGCAGGTGGCAGCCATAGACGCACCGACTCCGCATCGAATTCGATCGACAGCGGCACGGGCCTATATAGTACGTACGCACGACGCCGATCAGGCAACAACCGGGATCGATCTGCGCATACATTCATGGCGACGGCGAGGAGCACCAAGCGCGCG